ATAAGGAAACATTGGGTACAAAGCAGCTGTAAAAAACGGAGAGAGGCACATGGTAAGTGGGCATGCTTTAAAAATTAACGATGGAGATCTACCGAACTTTCAAGCCAGAAATTGCCAAGGAAGAGATCTACAACAGTTTATAGCATAGTTCTCTGATCTTTAAAACCAGGAAGAGGTGTTGTGAACGAAGATGTACCGAGCCAAATACGAAGACATAGATGCATTATGTATTCATGTGGAGAGAAGGAGGAGACAGCTGAACATTTCTTATTGCTCTATAAAGAACTTTGCCATATAATGCAAGATAAGGGTACATAATTTGTAAAAGCATTGGGGTTTAAGGACAGTGAAAGCAAAATAGACTTTAAAAGTATACTGACACAAAATTTCGTAGCCGAGATAGCCAGCACGATCGATTAACATGTACATGCATAGATCTATCAAATATCAACAGCCATTATAGGTTGCAAGTCATTTTACATAAATTTAAAAGTGCTAGTTTTGAAAGTAATGAGGCCATCAAATGTCACTATATTGTGACTCCCTTACTTTCCTCACGTCACCACGCTCCAGTTAATAAAGCACGTTATGATGATGTCATAGCTGCCATTTTGGGGGGTGGGCATTCCTTCTACCTATTTATGCATCTCAGCGGCTGCTTGCGAGTCCGTGGTCACGGCGCACGTGTTGAAAGTTTTGTGTTTAGCGACACTTCTGTTCTGTTTCCTGTTCGAAAGTACTTTTGATGTAGGCTGTGCGGAAGTGTGTCACAGTTTTGTGTGCCGACGTGGTCGAGTGTTGTACACGCTTAGTGGTGATATTTGTACTTGGAGGGGCTTATCATTTTTGGATCTTTCTATTGAAATTGTTTCGTTACAAGGAGTATCTAAATAATTATTTATCATGCATTGCAGGAAATGATGTGTTGTGTGATGACTAACAGATGCCCAGCAACACATTATAACAAAAAAGCACAAGGTCAAAGTTTGTCTGTCAGTACCCCTTCTAGTGGGTAGAAATGACTAGGGGAGAGGCTACCTGATTGGTGGCCACAATCAAGGCATGAGTGAAATTTAATGCTTCTCTACATAGTGCTAGTATTTTATATCGCAGCTCTGTGACGGGTGTCGCCACCCTATCGAAAGGGTACAGCCTTATCCATCCATTCATCCAGCTTTGTTCATGAAAGTGCAGACTGCGACACTTTTCAGCTAATGGAAGCTTGCTCATTGCATTTGCCAAATTTCTTCCGGACATATTGTGAAAGCATAAAGAAAAAAAAACGACTGTGCCTTTGTGTGTAGGTTAGATTTTGCAAGCCGCATGTCAGTGCCATGTGCTGTAGGCAGAATCGATCAACTGCAAAAGTGTGCAGTTTTTTTTTTTTCTGTAAAAACAATGATGACAACAAGAAATGTTAAATTACCTGATTGGTACATGTATTTTAACTGGAACTGTCGCGTCTTCAGATGTTCACACTTCCGAAATCATGCATGGGTGTGTTCTTGTTACGGGACATTATAAAGAAATCTAGTCTTTATAACTATTTAGTTACATAGTGCATTATGCAGTCTGCATTGCGCCTTCACTTATGTTCGGTGCAACTGAATTACTCCTGTTGACAGCCGAAAGTAACAGGTTACAACAAACTTTCATTTAATGTTTTATGCTTGAATCTGGTGAATACTGCATTGAGCCAAACGAAATAGGAGTTAAAAGTAGGGATAGGTGTAGTATACATTGCATGTTCAGAGAGGCAGCCTCATCCGAAAATTGTACATCTACAAGAAATAAAGTCATATTTTGGTGAGCTGCTCGTATGCGTGCAGTCATTCGTAAGTAAACTCCCAAAGCTGATTGAGGAATGATGGGGAAGCATATGTGCCAGTCTTTCAGTTCGCTCATGGAAGTAACTACACACATTTTATTTCAATGTGTAATTAGGTTGAGGCTTATGAAACGGTGTGTCAGAATAGGAAAGAACCTTTGTGAATGCAAAGAAGCAAATGCCTACTCGAAACCACAATTTTTATTCAAATGTGCAGATTCAAATGTGCTGTGCTTGTATTTCCATGGTATTTCGTTGAAATGTTCTCGTGATTGTGGGTTCTGCATGATTTAGTGATATTTCACGCCGTGGTGTCACAAACATAAATACACATCACCTTGGTGAATCGTCGGTTTTTTCTACAAGTAGTTACAACTGTGCAGTATGATTATTTCATGGAATTTATGATATATTAGCCTTTATCCCTTATATAATGTAAATGCAAGGTCAAAAGCGGTATCAGCGTCGGTACAGATGTAGCAAGAGCTGACCGGGTGTACAGGCAGCGTCGCAGCAGCAACCAGGTAGTCTTAGCTCGTGCCTTGCGCCAACATGTCGATGTCGCTGCACTAGTGGGCATTCCTCTTCACTACACTTTGTCCCCCGTCGTAAAAGGAGCCGTCCTGGCGACTCACGGTGAACAGAGTACGAGCGGATCGTAATAAGGTTTCAGCCGCTGTACGTGAACGGTTTCACGACCCCCGAAAGCGCTGATCTGTGGCTGGCGTAACGGGTTCGACGACATAGTTAATAGATGAAGTCTGCGAGACAATGCGGTAGGGTCCCTGGTATTTCGAAAAAAGGTCCGAGGAAAGGCCTGTAGGCACAGCGGGAACCCAAAGCCACACAAGAGTGTCCGGAACAAAGTTAGGGTACGGCTGGTTATCGTCACGTCGAGATTTTTGTCTCCATTGGTCGACAGTTGTAAATGACTGGGCGAGCTTACGGCATTCCTCGGCACGGCGGGCAGCTTCAGAGATAGGCGTAGACTCGGAGGAATCTGGGTGGTAGGGTAGAATGGTATCTAGTGTGGTGGAAGGGTCTCGGCCATATAACAGGAAAAATGACGAAAAGCCCGTAATTGCCTGTGGAGCAGTGTCATATGCGTATGTCACAAAAGGCAGAATGAGGTCCCAATCGGAGTGGTCTGAGGCAACATACTTTGATATCATGTCCCCTAGGGTACGGTTGAATCTTTCCGTCAATCCATTTGTCTGCGGATGGTAGGCGGTGGTAGCCCGGTGAATTATACGGCATTCGGCAAGGAGTGCGTTGACGACTTCAGAGAGGAATACACGTCCTCTGTCGCTGAGAAGTTCACGTGGTGCGCCGTGACGGAGAATGAAGTTCCGCAGGAGAAAAGAAGTTACGTCGTGTGCTGTGGCAGCAGGCAAAGCGGCTGTTTCTGCGTATCGCGTCAAATATTCGACAGCGCCAACAATCCAACGGTTTCCGGAAGCCGTGAATGTAAGAGGCCCGTACAGATCGATCCCAATGCGATCAAAAGACCTGGCTGGGCAATGGATTGGCTGGATCGTACCAGAGGTATGATGAGGCAGAGCTTTCCGTCGTTGGCACTGCGGGCATGACTGAATGTACTTGCACAAAAAGGTGTACATGCCTCGCCAATGAAAGCGGGAGGAAAGCCGAGCGTATGTTTCGAAGATGCCCGCATGTGCGCACTGAGGGTCAGCGTGGACAGCTGAACATATTGCAGCTCGAAGATGGCGAGGTATGACCAGTAACCACTTTCGGCCACTAGACTTGTAATTCCTGCGATAAAGTAGGCCATCAAGGACCTCAAAGTGAGCCGCTTGATGGCGCAATGTTCGAGAAGATGGAGAAGTTGATCGATCTGAAAGGAATCGCAGAAGAGATCTGATCCAGTCATCCTTGCGTTGCTCAGATGCCATGTCACAGTTTTCTGGGAACACAATCATTTCGTCCATGGCAGATAGACATGCAGAGCTTTCGAAGGACACAGGTGAACGTGATAGAGCGTCGGCATCAGTGTGACGTCGGCCAGACCTGTAGACAACATGCATGTTGAACTCTTGCAACCGCAAAGCCCAGCGAGCTAAACGGCCGGAGGGGTCGTTCAATGTGGATAACCAACAAAGCGCATGGTGATCGGTGACTACGTCGAAGGGGCGACCATATAGGTACGGTCTTAATTTACCTAGAGCCCATATAATTGCCAGACACTCCTTCTCTGTCACAGAATAGTTCTCCGCTTTGGTGAGGGTATCAGGGACATTCAGTGTTTCGTGTTCTTGGAGTTCCCACTGCTTCATTTAACAAAGCATCAATGACACCGGTGCTTGAAGTAGACATTTAGAGTTTTCTGGGCATGTGTACAATATTGCAAGACAGAGTCACATATTCAGTGTAAGGCATGGGCAGTGCTTCTTGCTCCGTTTGATGGACTTCCTGCTCTTTACCTAAATTGCGACATGCGTCACCTTCAGCGACTTCCCTCAGGTTCTTTGCTTCATTTGATCCAGTTACGTAGCGAATCCGTGCTGACACGTGGACAGTGCAGGGTAAGGGGCATTTGCTCGCTCACTGGGGCGGTGGTGCCCTCTCTCACTATAGGAATGAGGGTGAGGTTTGTGCTGTGTGGGCTCAGTGATGGTAGAGGAAATGCAGTAATTGATTTCACTTGTAAGCTATGTATAAAGACAAAGGTATGTGGTCGTGTAGAGTTGCAAAACACGACCTGCACAGTCGATGTAGCTCCAGCTAAACACAATTGCAGATTAGGCGTGTAGCAGCAGACTATCCAGTGCTTCTTTTGCCTCCCGTTCACTAGGATTCCTTGAATAATTTCCAGCTCCACTGAGGCCGACTTGCACTAGTCACTATTTTCAATTTCAGTGGCATAAAATCACATAGATATCTTCTAGTATCCACTATTACTCTATTGTGTGTCCCAAACCAAGCTGTATATTTAAGTATTAAAAGGTTTGACTTGTCTGAGTTACATTGATGGCAATTAAATAAGGGAAAGCTGAGCACAGTGAGATAATACCGTAAGAATAGGCCATCATGCAATAGTATTGCTGGTTTCACTATATCATTTCAAACACATCTGAAAAGTACTCATTTTAGCAGTTGCCGTAAGTACCCGTTTTGTTGCGTATGTGTCTTATCTTTTCATACACTGTTGCAGATTTTTTTGACGACTGCTATGTGGAGGCAGCAGCATAAGGCACAAGCCAAGACCATTTCATTCTAGCCACAGAGACAAGGTAAGTGGCACTTCACTTCATTTCTTGGCAATAAGCTTTGGTGTTTCCACTTTCAACAACAGAAGCAGATTTATTTCAGGAGGACATTGCAGGAGAGCCAGTACACCAAACAGTGTCGTGTGCAGCTTGTGAGTCGAGACAAGCCATGAAAACATTGCCACTACCAGCGTGTGAGCCAGGTCATGTCGCAGATAAATGTGCTCAAGTGCGGCTACAGACCCACAACGAAGCAACACAGGCAGATGAAAAGAAACTTGTGTCAACAAGTACCACACAAACGCAGCCTCAGGCTTTTTCTTCAGGTATGCATTTAGGCAAAGACTAAAAAAAGTTTGTTCTGCCGGGGGAGCAAGATATTGAATGCGTGTGTGTGTGTGCATGCGTGAGAGAGAGAAAAAAAGTGAGTGAGCAGCTCGATATCGGTTGCTGCACTGACAAGGCAGGTAGGACGAGGGTTTTCGTTCTTTCAGTCCACTCTACTCGGGATGCTGCACGCGTTCCGGTCTGTATACCTGCTGCTCGCGGGTGTCGAAACTTGAGGAAATGAGGTTAATATCCAAGTGTTTAGATACTGTGAATAAACAGATACGCCGGTAATGTTTTGTTTGAGCTATTACATCCTTCACATTACATCGGTCGTGATGTGTTTCACTTTCTTCAGGTTCGCTGCACAGTATCTGTTGAGATAGTTTGGATGGCACGATTAGCATGGTTTATGGTAGTTATTGTTCTTGAGCGACTTTACGTCCGTGTTCCTGTAGGGTCAGTCGTTATGATCATCATCAGCCTGACTACGCTTATGCAAGACAAAGGCCTCTACCATGATCCACCAATCAACTCGGTCTTGTGCTTTCTTCTGCCACATTACACCTGCGAACTTTTTAATCTCATCGGCCTGCCTAACTTTCTGTCTCCATTTCGTGCATTTCCCTTCTCTGGGAATTCAGTCAGATACCATTAATGACCAGCGGTTATCCTGCTTACGTGCTACGTGCTCGGCCCATGTCCATTTCTTCTTCTTGATTTCAACTATGATACCCTTAGCCCCGGTTTGTTCCCTGACCCACTCTACTCTCTTGTCTCTGAAGGTTACACCTATCATTTTTCTTTCCTTTGCTCACTATGTCGTCCTTAATTTAAGCTGAACCATATTTTTATGCCTACAAGTTTCTGCTTCATAGCTAAGTATCGACAAGATTCATTTTTTTACTTGAGTGATAGAATGAATGTGGTCTATTGTGTAGTACCCTGTACGAAATTCTGCTCGGTCCTTTGGTTGATTGAATACGAATGTCGCCTTGATTCTATTAGATATTATTTTTGTAAATAGGTTGTAGAGAACCCATAATTGGCTGATCGGCCTGTAATTTTTCAAGTCCCTGACATCTCTTTTCTTATGGATTAAGATGATGTTGGCGTTCTTCCAAGATTCTGGTACCCTTCCCGTCAAGAGAAACTTTGCATATAAAGTGGCCGGTTTTTCGAACAAAATTTCTCTGCCATCTTTAAGCAGGTCCGTTGTTACCTTATGCTCACGAGTGGCTTTGCCTCTTTGCATTCCTTCTAGGGCTTTTTTTATTTTCCCTGTTGTTACTGGTAGGGTGCCAAATTACTCTGGGCTACCATTGCTTTTTATGAAATCATCCTGGTTGTTTCAGCTTCTGTACAGCTCTCTGTAGAACTTCTCTGTCACTGCAGCTATCCTATTCATATTGGTTTTGACATAGTCTTTCTTGTCCCTTAATGCATACTTATGATTTTTGCCTATGCACAAGTTTGCCTTTACAGGTTTTAGGTCTCTACCACATTTTACAGCCTTCTCAATTCTCTTCGTGTTATACATTCTGATGTCGGCTATCTTACGCCTATTGATAAACTTTGAAAGCTCCACTACCTCTATTTTGTGGGTTGCATTTGAGGATTTCATGGTTTGTCGTCTTTTAATGGTATTTTCCGTCTCCTGAGTAGTTAGATAGTTTGCTAGTGTCCTCTATAGTGACTGTATCTTCATTTTTTATTCCTCTTTTTGTCAATACTAGTAGGATTATAGTTCACTGTGTCACTGCTAACATCGGTTACCTCGTTTAAAAGCTCGAATCTCTACTGAAGCGAAACTCTGAATTTCTTCATTTTCCCTCTCCGTGCTAGCTGATTAATTAGCTGCTTACGTATCAGTTTATGCCTTTGCCTTTTTAAATCTAGCTAAATATGAGGTCTTACCATTCTATGGTCACTGCATCGAATCTTTCCAACTACTTCTACATCCTGTACAATGTCTGGGCGTGCATACAAAATGAAGTTTTTTTCATTTTTAGTTTCATCATTGCTAATAGATTTCGCCACGTCCACTTACGGTTAGCTCATTTTCTCATGAAGCTGTCCAAGATCCTCAAAATATTACGCTCTGCTTACTCTAATAATAACTCCCCTTTGGCATTTCTAGAGCCGATGCCATATTCCTCCACTGCATGATGTCCGGCCTGTTTTTTGCCTACTTTGGCATTAAAATCGCCCATCAGTATACTGTACTGTGTCTTTACTTTAATAGAAGCATTCAACCAAATCATCATCATGGCTGGATGTAGGCACATAGACCTTTACCACCTTCATCTCGTACCTTTGTTTTAACTTAATTATGATACTTGCCACCCTCTCACTGATGCTATACTATTCCTTTATGTTGCCAGAGAAATTGTTCTGTCGGGAAGAGAGATATTGATGAGGGCAACCCCAAAACTTAAACGAGGAGCTGGTTGACGTACCAGACCCAGTCCGTCGGCATATTTCGATCGCCCCTATCTCCAGGAACATGACCAAGGAGTGGCATCACAAAAGGCGAGAGGAGCACGTAAAATGGATCAAAAAATTAGTCAGAGGCAACGAGAATGTGCTATACGTTGACTCTTCCAGGTGTAACTGGAAGCGCTGCATCGTCACAATGGTAAGCATCAACACGAGAAGCGTAGTGTCCAGTTCATCACTGTACACTATATTGATCACGAAGGTCGAGTGTTTCGCCATCGCATTGGCAATTAACCCCCGTATTCACAAGCGCTCCTCGACTAGGCTTTCACCCTTCACTTGACAGAGTTGAGCACTGCGCCACCGCTCGGCTGAAAATGACGCTGCACTACTCATGAATCACAGCAGATTATCGCTGAAATGCAGTGACTTGCCGTGCCTTGAGACGGCGCTCCCATCAGTTTTCTCAGGTGAAGGTGAAGCGTTGAGTGAAGGGACGTTCTAGAATACGGGGGTAGAAGTCTAGAGCGCAACGGCGGCTAGATGTACATCACCATACTCTCAGATTTGCAAGAGGGGTGCCGGCTATTCACGAAAGGCCGCCTCCCATTGAACATTTGCAAATTTTTAGGCGGCGAAGTGAGCAACACTTATAGGTTAGTCTGATGCCCGGGACATGCAGGCCTAGAGGGTAATGAGAGAGTGGACGCTCTAGCTAGAGTGCTCACGAACCAAGCGGAGCAGCAGCCTGTCACGCTGTTACCACTACCCAGTACTTTGCACGATGGCTTTCGCGAGGAGGAGGAAAACGACCCAGCTTGGATGGCTCCGCGAGAGCTTTTTGCTCACCAGCGATGTACGCAAGAGAAATATGGAGCCCCCCACAAATCTTGAAGGGGAAGACGCCATAGACCTCCGTAAAATTCAAACGGGAGTTTATCCAAATTTATTACGACTGCACAAAATTCATCCAACTTTGTTTGGGCGTGATTGTCCGTGGTGTCGCGACTCGCCAACGACCCTTTACCGTATCTCGTGGAGTTGTGCTAAACGGCCAAGTGAACTCGATGGCTTACAGCGTGTGTATAGAATGGAAAACTCTTTGGAGCAGTTGGAGGCACTCCTCACTAGCTTGGACACGGAGGTGCAACTAGCACTCCTGGACCACGTTTGGCTTGCAGCGCAAGCCAGTGGAGCCTTGGACATGGGGCCCCACCCATCTAGCTCCTTAACCTCTTCTTTTTCAACCCAATAAAGTTATTTCTCTCTATCAAAGTTCTGTAATGAAAAGAAACTTTGCAAGCAAAATATCAAATTGATGGGCTAGCTTCACAATTTGACCGCATTGAGCTGTAATAATTATCACAAATTTATGCCAGTTAATCAATAGATAGCTGTTGCTAGAAGTCGGGGAAAATTGATTTCACAAAAATTATTTCCCAAGGTACCCCGCATGTATAAAGTGTGCAGGTGGCTTTCACAGCCAGTTTCCAGCCGCTTTGGTTTTGCTTGTATCGTTATATCAGACACAGGGTCACATCTAGTGTCACTAGTCGCTCCTATTACGCGGCTGTCACATGCGCATCAGCACTGCAAAACACATGTGCTGCTTGAAACTGTCTTGTGACCTCGCCTGAATTGAGTGAGAACGAGCTGAGATTGTGTGGATGACAGCACCTCGCTTCAAGTTTTATGGCAACGATGTTTTGTCCACCTGAGACATCCGTAGCCGTTCATGGGTTTGTTTTGTTTACATCCTCAAGCTATCTCGTTCGCACGAGTGCATATAGCTTCTGACCTTTGTGCATAATTTTATAGTTACTCAGGTTACGTGCGTGGTCCACACTTTGCTAGGGCACGGTGCGATGGCACTGGCTGCAGAGCTTCTTTTAATAGCAAGAAGGCCTCCGGAGCACATTTTGGCCCTGACTATGGAGCAGTGCGAGACATTTTAGAAGTCCGTGCGATATTGTCCTTTTTTTATTACGATATGCACAAATATGCAAATGAATATGCTTGGATGCATATATTGGAACGCCAACCTATGAGGAGTGAGGTGGTTCATGGGAAGAGGTGACGCTAGATGAAATAGTTGGACATCTCATATATAGAGGGATTATTCACATCACAGGTATCCATCTATATTGGAACACCTTGAGCCTCTTATCGCAAGACAACAAACATTTACTGAGAAAAGCGTGCGAGTACACTTGTGGCTCTCGAAAAACCATACAGTGCTTCACAGCATGACATGAGCAATGAAGCAGCTCCTCAGTTCTGATTTTCTTTGTCTATGTGAAGATAAACATTTTGTACAATAATTATTCTTACACTGTTCCTGGGTCATTTATCTACAAAATGTATATTTTGAATTTTCTTTGTGTTGAATATTTTTACATATATAGTGTGTTTCGTTCCACTTTTTACCAGTTGGTGACGAATAATTTCACACTTTTCACATTTTGGTTTATTCTAAAATATTTTTGTTAGTCTACAACATATATTTTTAGGGTAGAGCATTTCAATCTGCGAAGTTTACCGTGCTGCAATGCGTGCTGGAGTACTTTTCGAACTGGCAAAAACGAGCTTTCCTTGACATGAAAAACAACCATCCTCGCACGGTAACAAAAGAGTTAAAGCACCAGCTGCACGGGTGAGGAAACCGCGGCACTTCATATAGAGGTGGCAAAGGCAGGAAAGTTTAAAAGAACATCATGGACTTTTTTCAGCAAAATGTAGTTGACTCCGATAAAGTTCTTGTTCACCTTCATGATCAGCTTTAACTTGTTTTTTGTTAATACGAATTTGAGATGATACCAATATTTTGTGTTCTCTCTTTGAATTTGTATCATCTATATTCTACTGTAATGAATTTGCAACTATTTAGGGACATTTTTGCATTTCCAATTTATTAGGAAGACTTTATTTATTTGAATCGAGCTGTGCAAGCACATTTTTTTTTTATTTAAAATTTCTTACAGGCCCTTTACAGGGCATTGAGTAAGGGGGGTAATTGGTGAAATTTTACAGATCACACAAAATTAATTCACGCGTTACAAAGTGCCTCTGCATTATAATCATAGGCTTCACTAATGCCAAATGAAGCATAGTTTTGCTCGTATTTTCGGCCGCACCCAAGCCTTTAACACATCTGCGATAACGCATGTCACAGCTCAGTGGAATGATCTCTCTGATGATGTAGTTTCCATTTATGATTGTGGTTTTTCAAAATGAATTTTATGAAATTGCATTTCCAAATGGTTTAATGACATGTTGACCCATTCGAATATGTATAATGCATGTTAAGTGTCTTATTAATGCAGTGCTAGACCTCTGTTATCTCTCACATTCTGCAGTTGTATAATGCCTGTTTGTTTCATTCTTTTTTGTTTTGTGTTCTAGCTAAAAAAAATTATTGTATAGCTTCCCTCACATAATACTCCTGCACAAAACCACTGTAGGTGTGTGTAGATAAAACCATCAAACTTCTTATAGAACTACCACTTCTGAGCTCTTCTGAGGTGCAGCAGCACAGACAACGATCTATGCAGAAAACTTTTGCAGCTGGTAGCTACGAAGTTCATCAAGCCCCTTTTCAGCAACTATGCACTTAACACAATAGACAGCCATGCCACTGTCAAGCTGCTGCAGCAAAATCTTTTTTCAGAAAAAGTTCTAAAAATGTAGACTCGGATGTACATTCCTACAGCTACTGAATATTTCTCGGGCAATACATCTTAGTAGTTTTGATGCTGTGACACACTGACAGCCATCTTATTTAAAAAGTCATAGTGCTCAATTCACACAAATATGATCGAGTTCATCAAGCCTGGCCATATTTATCCCCCGCATCTTCACGGTGCTGTGATCAGAAGCTTCACCTTGCTGATGTACTCCCACTGCACTCTACCTGGAAACAACTGGCTGTGCTTACTAGCGCACGTGTGCCAGACGTCAGAACCAGTGCCGTAGCCAGGGGATGGCACTCTGCGTCAGCACCCCACGGGTTGTTCAGAAACTCAACCAGCGCTAGAACTTTGATGCGATGCAGTGGTGACGATCTTCCCATCACAAGCTGAAAAGTAAGATTGCGAACAGAGCGACAACACCATCTGTGTCGGCCCCATACTCGACTCTGATAAGTAATCCAGAGGGATGTCCGATCGCGTTTCCCATTCAAGATAACCCCATTAGCTTATTTTTAAGGAACAGAGGACATTCAGTTCAATTACAAGTTGATACACACACAGCTCGCAATAAAAAGCAGATCTCACCTCTGCAGGACATTTAAGTACAATTTTGCATTGATCGGTACAACGGCTACCAAAGCACATCGAACGCACCCCGTGAAGTGCTGCTTTGTTTCACCACTGCGCTTGCGAGCATTTCGCCCACGCCCCACTTTTCCGCTCCCACCAGAAGTGGGCTAGGCAACGAGTGCTCTCACATATTTCTGGCGAACTGCATGAACTGAGATGCCCTGCCGCGGTGGTCTGGTGGCTAAGCCTGCTGACCCGCAGGTCACGGAATCGAATCCCGGCTGGGGTGGCTGCATTTTTGATGGAGGTAAAAATTCTGTAGGCCCGTGTGCTCAGATTTGGGTGCACGTTAAAAAACCCCATGTAGTCGAAATTTCCGAAGCCCTCCACTACGGTGTCTCAAAATCATATGGTGGTTTTGGGATGTTAAACCCCACATATCAATCAATGCACGAACTGAAGTATTAACCGCCACCGCCATGGGAAAGGAAGCGACACGGTGAGCATTTAGTAAAGGATGCATTGACACGAGATGAATGGGCTGTTCTCTGGATGTTGTCGGTGGCTCGCAACTTCAGTGTGCCCGCAGATCTTTTTGTTTTGTGCGTTACAACGCTCGTTGCAACTGTGACGAGAAAGGCAACTGCATCGTAAAGTACCCGCGATTCAACGAGCAAAGCAACATAACCACAGGAACTCGTACTTACCAGTCAATCCTAGCTCGTTTTCTATTTTATTCCACAAGTCGTCCCTTAGCAAGCTGTCCTTGTGCTTGGGGTGGCGTTTGTCGTATAGGACGGGGTGGTTGTGCACCAATTCAATGAGCATTTCTGCTAAGTGCACTTCACTTCTTTGTGACATGACGAGCGGGTCATACTTGGTCATCATTTTTTCAAATTCCTTGGCTAGCGCTCCTATTGGTTCACTGCGAGCCGATTCGGCTGCAGACGTCGCAAACATCCGTCTAAGAGCGATTGGTGCGGAGAGGGCCCTTTCGGTGGATCTCGCCGTCGTCGAATTGGATTTGGCGCGCTATCAAAGGCCGGAATGCTCAGTGTGAATGAGTATCTTTAAAGCCATTTGTCCCTTTCGATTCAGCATCAGAATGGCCTCTAAATAAGATTCCGTTATTTCGTGCCTATACTCTGTTTAAGAAGTTGCCTTCAGCACTGTGGAAGCTACAGGGCCCTTAACCAACAGGATAGTTGATTAAGCCCCTCTACATGTATTCATCCATGCCGTGTCGTCTGCTCACAGTCTTCACAGCGTCTGCTTGCTGAATTGTCTTTGCACGCTCATTGCATGCAAGAAGGGTGGTTTAAAATCTTTAAAAATTAAGTAAAACTATCAAACAAGCTATTACATTTTAACTTCAGAAAGTTTTGTGCCTTAAAAATAGGATTTGTGGCTATACAGAAGATCGGTAAACGTTCATGCCAGCAGATAAGTCCACTTTGTGGCTCTCTAACGCTGTTCGTGGCTCTGATTTGACTGCTTCTCTGTCGACGCGTTCCTTCCCATCTCTCGCTGCAATGCTTCTTTTCTGTCGTTTTTCGTTTCACCGAAGGAGTATCCGACGCATTCGGAATGCCGTGCGAGGTTGCATGTCCGATACTCAGAGATGCAGCGTTCTTGGTCTGGGGACACAGCCCAGGCCCTGGCCTCGGCGTGTTAGGCTTGTCAGATATGGCTACGCAAGCAGCATATCTCGCTGATAACGACAAAACATGCCTGATGCTTCATCCTCAGAGTAAGATTAAACGAATCAATGGCTGATTTCAACATTTATTTGTTGCTGTTATCACTGTGGGTGTTTAGCAAGATCAAGTTCAAATCTACGCGGGTGGTCGCCTCTGCATAGATGCTGCAGTGTTGATTTGTAACCATGTTTACCGAGGGTAACCGACACAAATAATTGAATTCATAGAAAATAAATGCGATGAAGAAAAACATATCGCATATCGATGTGGCATAACACATACCAAACAAAAGCCAATTTTAGACAATCCTGCCAATTTCAAGGCATTTATATCTGGGACTATGTTTCACTGTGCAAGCTTGTGGCTTTCTTACACCCCGTAGCTTTGTTAGTGCGGATCCGAAGTGGTGAAACGAAGTATAGCTCTCTATTCATGTGCAGCAAGTTTAAAATTTAAAATTTTTGTGAAATGTGACGTGTTGCGGTAATGAGAGTAGCTTTGCTTCTGGTGAAAAGTGACCATCTACCTCACTTACAAGCAGAGAAATCATCGGCTGTGTATTCTGTGCTGCTTCAGTCCAGCTGCATGCAGTGTGCGACACACAATTTGCATAGCTTTTTTGTTTTCTTCATTCGTTGCAGGACCCTTGTCTTCTACGGCCCTGCAGGAGTCTTCTTCATTGGCGAATGTACGAAGTCGACCGCATTCCTGCTCACAGTGCACCTATGTGACCCTGGACAAGTCAGCTATGATCAGGCACCTTCAGAAACACATGGGGGAGCCCGCCTTCCAGTGCCACTTGTGTCCAGCTGCATTCACTTACAATTCAAAGCTGGTATTGCATGTGCGCACCCATACAGGAGAATGTCCCTTTTCCTGTGTACACTGCAAAGCGTCCTTTAAGCAGGAAAGGCACCTCGTAAAACACATCCGCACTCACACAGGAGAGCGTCCCTTTTCCTGTATAGACTGCAAAGCGTCCTTTAAGCTGAAAAAGCACCTCGTGAGTCACATCAGCACTCATACAAGAGAGCGTCCCTTTTCTTGTCTAGACTGTAATGCATCGTTTAAACGAAAATATGACCTTAAGGCGCATATGAATTTTCACACAGGAAATTTCCCCTTCTCTTGTGCCCACTGCAATGCATCCTTTGTACGAAAATGCTACCTTGTGAGGCACATCGGCACTCACACAGGAGAGCGTCCTTTTTCATGTGCCCACTGCAATGCATCATTTAGGACGAAAAGCCACCTCGTGGAACACATCCGCACACATACAGGAGAGCGTCCCTTTCGGTGTGTCCAATGCAATAGATCGTTTATGGCTAAACGCCGCCTAATTGAGCATATACGCACTCACACAGGAGACCGTCCCTTTTCCTGTGTACACTGCAAAGCATCCTTCAAGCAACAAGGGCACCTCGTGAAACACATCCGCATTCACACAGGAGAGCGTCCCTTTTCTTGTGTAGACTGCAAAGCATCGTTCAAGCAGAAATGGAACCTAGTGAAACACGTCCGCACTCACACTAGGTAGCGTCCCTTTCTCTGTGTACATCGCAGTGCATCATTTTGGACTAATATGCATTCTCACACAGGAGAATGCTCTCCTTCTCCTGTGCCCACTGTAATGCACCCTTTTTCACGGAAATAGGAACATCTTGATGCAACATCCACGCTCACACAGAAGAGTGTCTTTTTCCATGTGTCCACTAAAATGCATTCTTTATGATTAAATGCCGCCTCATTGAGCACATATGCACTCACATGGAAGCATCCGTTCTGATGTGTTCATTCCAAGGCATCTTTTTTGTCTAGAACCAGCCTTGTGAAACACATCCATGCTCACCGGGAGAGTGTCCCTACGCCTGTGTCCACTGCAATGCATCTCAAGAAAACACAACCTCAGAGACCACATGTCCCGTTGACATGGTGGAAACAAATCGTAAATGTGAGGGGTGTACTGGCTATGAAAGGAAGACAGGCATGGTAGGGATTGAGAGCTCGTTCATTAGAGGAGGAGGAGTAATGCTCTATTCAGGTAAAAGGTGGAGGCTTTTTGGAAGGGGGCCATGTTTAGGTGGGCTCCTGCTTACAAGATCCCATTGGCACTAGCTGCTATACCCGGGTCCGCGTGACTAGGATCTTTTGGCTGGCCAGGTCCGAGTAGTCGAGCAGAGCCACCTCCCAGTCCTCTTATGTGGGATGTGGTAGGGGGCAGAGAGGTTCAGTGTCAGCTGACATGCCCACATCATGTTTAAGATGTCTGAAGACCCTTCCCCGCATTATGGGCAGTTCTCTGAACACACAGGGTTGAAATGTTCCTGAACTGCCGGGTACAGCATAGTTTTGGTGTACAAGCAGAAAAGCAAAGGTTCATCCTCTTTTGTGAGCCCCTTAGAGGGCCCCAAGAAGTCTATATGCTTCAATTGGAAGGATTTGATGATGTCTTTAAATGTAAAGATTGGATTGAAATCGGAGTCTACATCTGAGTAAGGCGAGGGCGTGGCTCGGTAAATAAGTCTGCAGGCCGTGGCCCGGTAAGTAAGTCTGCTGTCCGGAACTCGATGTTCTGGGCTCTTATTTATCGAGTAGTTGGATTCTTTTTTTCCCTAACTTCTTTCACTCCCTTTACACCTTAGGCAACAACATTGAATGTGCTGCTTCATGGGTAGCTGCATCGTGCATAATGAATAGCACAGCATAAACGGAGACATCTTGTTTATTTCATCTTCTTCCTTCTTCCCCGTAGCGGCCACCGAGCGCGTGCCACCGCACAGCGCTGTAGTCGGTAGCGACGCCTTATACCACATATCCCCTCTTGCAAAAAGCGGACTTGTCACAAGACTGGCAAATCACGCATGTGCGCACCAGTTCTTCAATGTGACTATCCATGCATGGCCACCAATAGGACTCTCTCAGGCGAGCTTTGGTACGACTAATGCCTGGATGTGACTCGTGGGCCAGATCCATAAGGCGGCGTGTCAACGTTGCAGGCACGACAATCCTGTCACCCCGGCATAGGATATCACTTACAACAGAGAGTTCAGCCTTCACGTAAAAGTAAGGTAGCAATTCTTTTGACAGTGATTTCTTGTCAGGCCAAGAAGTAGTCGTGAAGTGCTTAACTTCACAGATAATCTGATCATTGGCACTTGCTTCTTGAAGTTCTGGCATGGTAACTACGGGAGACAACAAACAGATAAATTCCTCTTCTGGTGCATCGCGGATTAAACTCTGGACGGGTAGCCTGGAGAGAGCGTCAGCCACGACGTTTTCGCTACCTTTCCTGTATTCGACGGTATAGTTGTAGCAGAGCAACCGTGAGGACCAGCGCGCAATCCTTAATGGTCGGTGACCGGTGCCTTTCGTCGAAAGAAGCGTAACCAGCGCTGCGTGATCCGTTCGTAAGATGAAAGGTCGTCCCCATAGATAAACGTGCCAGTGTTCGCAAGCCCAAACACAGGCAAGGGCCTCACGTTCGCCGACTGAGTATTTCCGCTCATGCGGTTGAAGTGTGCGGGAGGCGAATGCGACAGTTTGCAGTGAGGTCCCGTTGTCTTGCTGAAGTACTGCACCTAATCCATATCCTGAAGCATCAGTTGTAACGAACACAGGCAAGTGAGGATCGAAAAGATGAAGCACTTCGCAAGATGTGAGCAGAGATTTCAGGCGCTCCAAACTGCTCTGTGCTGCCGCACTCCAAACGAAAGAGGCTTGTCCTCGTAGCAAGGCGCGCATTGGCTCGACAACATCCGAAAAATGAGGAATGAACTTGGAATAGAAGCCTGCAAGCCCCAGTAGCGAGCGGAGTTCGTTAATATTTGTAGGTGATGGTGCCTTTGTTATCGCCTCAATGGATGACATCAACGGAAATAATCCTTTGGCGCTCACAACGTGACCTAGAAAAGTCAACTCTGCCACGTCAAAGACACACTTGTTGTTGAGCCGGAGGCCAGCATCAGAAAGACGTTGCAATACAGCGCGCAAGTTTCCCAAATGGTCCTCTCGGGATCGCCCATACACGATGATGTCATCAATGTAAAATAGGACACATTTGCACCCTTTCAAGATCATGTGCATCATTTTCTGGAACGCTGATGGCGCCGACGCCAGTCCGAAGCAAACCCTCTTGAAGCGAAATAGTCCATCGTGAGTGATGAACGTGGTAAGGTCACGGCTCTCTAAACTGAGCGGTAACTGGTGATATGCAGAAGCTAAGTCTAGCTTCGAGAAACGCTGTGCCCCAGCCAGGCTGTTCAGGAGCTCCTCAGTTTGTGGCAAAGGAAAACTGTCTACTACCACAGCTTTGTTTGGCTCCCGTAAGTCAACACACATGCGAATCGAGCCGTCTTTTTTTCTGGCTACGACAATAGGGGAGACCCACTCAGAAGAGTCGACACGCTCAATGATGCCCTGAGCTTCTAATTTCTGAACTTCTGCCGAGACTTGCTCGCGAATGACAAGTGGCAGTCGTCTCAGTTTGCTGGCCACCGGTTGTACAGACGCGCGAACTCTGACCCTGTGAGTGAAACCTCTCACAGTTCCCAGCTCTTTTGCAAATAGGTGCTCAAACTCAGAACGTAATTCTGGAGGTAGCACCGGAGTTTCTTGCGTCATTAGAAGACACCTGAGCGGTGACCCTTGGATCTTCATATCCAGAGCAGCGATGCCGTCTAATCCCAGAATGGTCGTTCCCCCAGGCACAACGTATAGTAGAACAGAAGTGCATCGGCCGTGAAATGAGGCAGTAGCAATGAAGCATCCTTGTATAGGAATTGCTGCCTTTGAATAATCGAGAAGCTGGACGGATGTAGACTTCAGTGGATACGCTTTAGAAAAATAGCGTTGGTAAAGTTCTTCGGCCAGGATCGAAACCGATGATCCTGTATCGATCAAAAATGGTACAGAAATTCCTTCTATTTCCAACGCTGCGTAAATTCCCTTCTTACGGCTCCAGATCTGACAAACACTTAAATGGTCGTCTGGATCAGCTGTATCGTTACCTTCCGCTACATGCTGAACATTCTTCTCAAACTTCCGGAATGACTTGCACACCTTTTCAAGATGGCCAATTTTCTCACATTGTCGACACCTATGTGCTTTGGCCTTGCACAGAGAGCTATTTGCAAGGTGTGCCGTAGAACCACAACGATAACATACTTGCTCTTTCGGAGATATGCGACTTTGACCGTGCATGTTATAGCAAGTACATGTGCTACAATGCCGTTCTCTGTGATTTGAAGTATCTTTTACACGATGAACTTGCAAGTCATTTTGTGCAAGTTCTCTTGCTTCATTAGTCGCTTGATCATGCTGTTTGGCAATGGTAAGAGCCTTAGAAAGCGTGAGAGAGACTTCCAGCAGAAGGCGTTCACGTAAGTATCCACTTGTGGTTTTCTCTATGAGCTGGTCGCGTATCATGTCGTCCGTTAGATCACCGAAATTGCATGCTCCTACAAGACTTCTCAGCGCGGTGACGTAATCAGCCGCAGTCTCACCTGGGGCCTGCGTACGTTGACGGAAACGGTGACGCGCTGCAGTGACGTTCAACGTGGTTTTGAAGTGACCTTCCAGCGTCGCGATGGCGCGGTCGAACACATCAGGACTAGGGGACGTTAGTGTACCTGCCGCAGCGCTCGCAGGCACGAGGCACGGGTCGTCAGTAGTCGTCAGAGTCTGGAAGATACGTTGTCCTTCCAAGCCCAAGCAGTTGAGCAGGATCGCCTTCCGACGAATGGCAGGTAGGTCGAAGGCGCCCGAAGCAACCATGTAATTCTTGAAAGCCTGGATCCATTGCTCCCATGGAATGTCCGGGTGTCCAGGTGACGACAGGAACGGAGGTGGCGGCTGTAGCCCCGAAATACTCATCGTAGAAGATGGTAGGCAATAAACGAGGGCACAGATGAGGTTCAGGCCGGTAGCACATGGGCTGGTGAATCCTCGTCGCCAAAATATGTTACATCGTGCATAATGAATAGCACAGCATAAACGGAGACATCTTGTTTATTTCATCTTCTTCCTTCTTCCCCGTAGCGGCCACCGAGCGCGTGCCACCGCACAGCGCTGTAGTCGGTAGCGACGCCTTATACCACATAATGTGCCCTTTTTAATCCAACCATCTACAGCTTGAGTATTCACACCAGCGAACGCCAGGCAGTGTTCACTCTATCCCTGAAAAATTGATTTGTGGCCAGAGGCACTGGCAGCCATACATACCCCAGTCACCCCGAATTCGAAGCAGATCCTCTGGAAATGATAATGTAGACCCCGACCACAAAGTTTCAAATAAAAGGGATACGTTTCGGCCCCAGGCATGAACATTTTCCACTAATAAGTAATGCGCAAATGGTGTTTATGCATGTTCTAAATTATGATGTAGGCAGCGTGCATACATATTAAGGTAGTTATCGTCACTATGATTAAAGGCACCTCCGGCGATTTTGGGACCATGTCCGGGTTATGTTGCTTCTTTGTTCCTAAGTCACTCTTGTCACGTGCCCGATAGCTGAAATGCTCAACAAACTCAAAAATTATTTTTATTCGCAAAAAAAAAAACCTCAGTACCGAAACTCAACTGAGTGTGCTTCTATGAATTACGCTATGCTTTGCCCAAACCTGCCTGGTTGCATATAATCGTGCTAGATGGCACTACTTGTCCAGGCCATCCAAGTTTGTGCCTTTGGGGACATAGTAAAACGCTTGCACTGTTATGGTCAATATATGCTGAATCGTGTGCAACCCACTATGCAACACCACTTGGCAGCT